TATCGAGGTTTTCATTTCATTTATTTATTTTTTCAACTAAGGCTGTTCCAAGTAAAAAGCCTAGCAACTATGCAGCTGGTGCCTGACTGGAGGCAAGTACGTTAGGTTGTTAATTCGAAATTGCTACTAACATACAATAATTGTGAAAATTTTTAGGAAGTTGTTAGTGGTATTCACTCAGTATTTAGTTAATTAACTACTCTACCTAATATTAAAAATCAATTGTTTTCTTTTTTTTATTTATTATTGAACATAAATCACAGAAAATTTACTTGTGTATGAATCAAAGTGAACTTAAAAAAAATGTTCGTCAATGAAAGCAAAGATTTTTTTTGGAAAAACGTAATTATTAAATTCAGAGAATCAATAATTTCGATTTTTGATTCAAGTTTTATTCCATGTTTTTTTTTTTAAAATCATTTTTTGTCTTCTCTTCCGCACACATTGTTTGCTTTTATTTCTTACACAGTGAAGAAAACACTTAATTTCAAAACTTTTTGGTTGTCTTAGGGGACACAAATAAACAATCTTTGAAAAATATTTGACAAGTCCAGAATCACTACTCATGCCGAAAGGAGGCATTTCAGTAAATGGCATAACGATATTTGTTAAAGAAATTCTGCAAGTCTTTTAATTTAGCATAAAACATGCACTGAACTGATAACTGGCGGAATTTAAAAATAATAGTCCTACCAGTTCAGTACATACTTTTTCTTTTCAGTAGTCAAATTAAAATCTTACATAAATTCTTTAAAAAAAATGTCTATGTATTTTTCAATATAAAAAAGTTTTTTTTTTTTTTTTTTTTTAAAAATTATTGTCTTTTTGGGGTTTTTTTTTTTTTAGCCTGTTGAGGCAATCAAAGATCTGCTAAAAATGATTTTCAAGAAATCTTAAATTTTTATTCTGGTAACAACTATTTTCTTTTTCCAATAAAAGGCAAATAACGAGAGTAGAAAATAAATAAAAGGCGAGAGTGAAAAACCGATGATAAATTGTGGAATAAACTCTGGAATATTCATCAAAATAACAGTACTGTTTTTCTGGGTCTTCTTATTTGTTAATTTTTTATGAAGGAATATTTTTGTAAAAATTAAAATCACTTTGATTTATACAAGTAAATTTTCTCTACTTTCAGATCAATAAGAAATAATAATAATAATAATTGATTTCTAATATTTAGTTAAAGTTGTTAATTAACTAATTATTGGATATCACTGACAAGTACCTTGCTAAAATGTTTTTCAATAATTGCAGGTAAATAGTAATTTTGGACTAACATACTTGCATCCAGTCACAGGTTTCATGGTTGCTTGGCCTTGCATGAGACGATTATATATATAATTGAACCATAACCTTTTATTGACACACCAAATAGATTTGATATTTTATTACATTTGGTTTCTATGGAAACGATCAGAAGTAGATATTTAAGAGTAAAACTTCCTCTACCATTTCATCTATGTAGAAAAATAGTGTTTTGTAACTGAAAACTTGCTCTAAATGGTGTTATGTTATTGTGCTCATTGTATTTGTTGTTCTTTCCATGGAAATTAACAGGAGACATTACTTTTGGAATGTTCCTCATGTAAACCGTTATTAGGACAATGTAAATCGTTCATAAAAGTATACCTATCTTAATATATTATTGATATGTATGTATTTTCTTATTTCCTTTTTAGTCAGTTGTGCATAAAACATTTTACTTTCTTTGATCAAATCCAGAATAGTGAGGAACAAAAAGTGGTTAGTTCATTCTGTTGGTCTTCCTTTCTAATTTCATATTGCCAACTACTGTATTTGTTTTCCCTTTTTTGCTATAATTAAAGTTTGTACCTCTTATAAGCTCTTCCTACATATGTGTGTGTGTGTGTGTGCGTAAATATTACAAGTTTAAAACTACATGAAAATTATATTATAAATAAATAAATAAATAAATAATTTATCAAATCTCAAATTGAAATCCTTAAAATATATCCCAGTTAAAGGACAAGATTCAAGATTTTATAACTCAGGTTAACAGCAGAGGGATTGGTCTCACCTAGACCCTCTGAACCAAAGATTCCAAATCTAGTTGGACATACCAATATCATCAGAAATGACCAGTTACATTTGATGCTTACATGAAAAGAAAACATTAGTTTTTTTTTTACAAAAATCAAGATCCATTAATTTAACTTGGAGAGTGTTTTAAGCTACAAAATAATTCTTCACTACAATCAAAATATTATATTTATTTTGCATCAAAACCACCTGCCAGTTTTCTATGTAAGCATAAACGGTTTGGATTTATTAAAATTTCAAAAGCTTCAAAAATAGACATATTTTATCAGTTTTTTTTTCCTATTTTTTTGTTTGCCATTTGCTAGTTTCAATTTTATTTTGTTCATAATGAGAAGATGTAGCTGCACAATATTGAATTATTTTTTTTTAGTGTTCAAAACATTCATTTTTGATTTGCAGTTAAAGTTTTAAAGTCTCTTCAAATGTAAAACAAAGAAAAGATTTTTTAAGGGCCTAATGGTTTTTTATCAAGCAATGTCTAGAAACCCATAGATGCTCTTCAAAAATCATTCATTTGAAAAAAATATGATATAATTGATTCATGAAAGAAAAAAAAAGAAAAAAATCTTGTGCAGTTCAATGATGAAAATGAAAAAAAGCATCATTTTTCAAAATCATTGTGAATGGTTTTCTGTTAATTCCTATTCTATTAAATTCCTTTTTAGAAAAATATTGTAATCTTTCCTTATACTAAATTTATAGGTTTCAATATAATTTAAAATTATAGTTAAAAGGTTATTTCAAATGTTAATTAACATAAATGTTTCTTCTATCATGCACACAAAAATCAATGTCTCTTTTGAACTATTCCTGTCTTGATTTCAAAGACATCAATGAGAAAATTAACTTAAAAAAAAAATATATATATATATATATATATATATATATATATATATATATATATATATATATAAAAAATCAATAACTGACTAACAAAAGAAGAAAATATTTGTCATTGATTTAATGTTTATACACATCATCCTATGCAACAAAATCAATTTCCTTTAGGAGATAATTTAAATTTTCAAAAATTTCACTGCACAAGATTGAAAAGTTTATATTTATATCATAGACTAATGAAATAGCAAAACTAATGTCCTTATGTCAGTGTAATAATACTTTATGTCAATCTCCTGAGGAGCATGAGCCTGAATCTGTTATTTCATGTTTAAATTGTTTCAATGCTGAAGGCATACTACTCATCATTAAAAGTAAGGCATACTAAGCTATAGCTAATACCTATATTATGCAAACAGGAATTATAGCTAGAAAAACAAACCAAGGTTACTATAGATTTTACAAGTAATAAAAGATCTACACAAAAAGAAAATTCTCCCCACCCCAATTTAAAACTAGTTTTCTTTCTCTGAGAGTACTTTCAACTTTGTAATAAGTTTGGTTGACTTGGCATGAAACCTTAAAAATGGTCATTCTTTTCCTAGACTATTAGAGCCAAACCAATATTATCAGGATTTTGATAAATACTCCTGATATAGCAAAAACCTTATAAAACTATTAACAAGAAAAATAAATAATTATTGTTTGAAATTAGAAAAAATTTTTAAGATTACCAAATGAAAAAAAAAATCCCACCCCCAGTCTTATTCGTTTTCAGTTTTAGTTTTTATTTTATTTAAAAGTTACAACTTGTTATACTAAAAAGCAGTAAACTTTATTTTTAATAATTAAACACTGGATTATTTAGTTAGTTTAAAATTATATAAGATGATAAAGATTGTTGTTCATAGTGGCTTTCCCCTGCCCGCAATCATAGAAAAAAAAAATCTTGTCTTTTATGAAAAGGTGAAAAAAAAACAGAAAAATAAAACATTAAAAAAACTTACAGAATTTAATCGAATATCAAAAAGGCTCAAAATATTTCTGTATATTTCTTAAACAAAACTAAGCATGTCCCAGGCAACAGAAAATAGCCTTTCAAATCATTGTCATGTGAATTCTATAAAAAAATAAAATCTCATTCACTTGCTGAATGAATTAGAGAAAAAAAACGTGACATTCTCTGAAAGTGATAATTATGAATTCTATTTCCATAGAATACTTTAAAAAATTGGCTTTGAAATGCAAATAGATTTAAAGCAAAAAGAATTACAGAAAAAAAGGTTCCATATAAATCATAAGATACAACAAATGATGTTTGGCCTAAAACCAACAATAAGAAAAAAAAGGTTTCTTGAACCAACAGCCAATATAATTAAAACACAATAAATAAAGGTTACGAGTTAATCTTTTGACAAAAATTGTCAAATAGGTATATAATGAAGCTAAGTCTGACACAAGGCCTAAATTGAGGAAGAGGAAATAAGATATCTTATTTTGTATATGTTCTAAGTGAGGAGAACCTTCCTGTCTTGATGATCAGTATTTGAAATTCTGGCATTTCTTTGCACTTAAACAACATCCACAGGGACAGGGGAATACAGAAACATTTGACCAACCTACCAAGTAGGCCAAATAAGAGATAGCCAGGGACAAAGACAACCAATTATTTCAATCAGAGTTCAATATAGAGCTCTATCATTCGCTTATATAAATATGTGTGTATGTGTGTGTGCGTATGTATGCACTCACATGGTGTAATCATTGAATTTCATTACTTTCAATCCTTTCACTTGATTAGTTTTTTTTTTTTTTTTTTTTTTTTAAATAAAAAAGGTTATTTAAATAACTTTTATACTTTATGTCACAAGGTAAAAAAGAACCAGCAAAAAATTAAATAAAAAGATAAAAAAAAGGCTACCAAAATTTCAAAACTGGGTTTGAAATATCCACCCAATACATTTCTTAAAGAATTAAAAGAAATTTTTTTTTTTTTTTAAATAAAGGAATGTGTTTTGTAATAAATTACAAACAAAAATCCAATCAAAGACCATTTTTGGCTCTGCCAAAAAAAAAAAAAACAAATAGTTCTTGTAAAATCAAAACAATAAGATCATAGGAAAACAAAGAAACATTTTATTGCAAAAGTTTGTAAAGAAAAGAAAGAGGCATTTCTTGAGGTTACCTTGGTTGTCCACGTCAATTTCAATATAAGCAGAGGTCCATGCACATTTATTGGATTTTCGAAAGGCTTCATTTGCTTGACAAACCTGACATTTCTTAACAAAACTAGCAACATCTTTAACAATTCCAATCCAATAATATTCTGTTGACAGCAGCTCCCATCTATGAATTGAGGGAAAAAAAAAGATGAAAAATATTACAAACTTAGATAGGTCAAACATTACAGACTAAAACTTTTGTGCATTTAGAACAATGTTAAAAAGCCTCTTTTAACCAAATCTCATCTCAAGGCAAGACTCATGTTATCAGTTTACAGTAAATTTCAAATGTTTTCCAGAGTTGCTATATCTAAATTCAAAATTAATTTTTCCTTATACATTTGAATCATTGTTAAATTGAAAAAACTGGTTTTAATTTGTTTTATACTATTTTTTAAAAGTATATATAGTTTCAGTATGATTTCTTTGTATCTAAGTTTATTCATTGTAAACCAATCAAATAGACAACTGAATAAAAACACCAAAGTAGGGAGCTTTATTCTGAATAATTTGTAGAGCATTATAGTTAATTTGTTGAAAATAAAAATAAAAATTACTGTTAAAATTAGGAGTCAATTTTCAAAATATCATGATGTACTTTCACATAAAAAAAATTATTAAAGCTCAACTCATTTTTAGATTTTAATTTTCTTTTTTACAAATTAAAGCTGAAGTAATAAATCTGGAGAAAATATTTTCTGGCAGAAATTTAGTTATTTTCAAATATAAACAATTATCTTGTTTCATTTCATCTTCCATTCCCAAAATGTAAATTTCTGTGACCACAGAAGGTAAAAATTGGAAAAACTTTTGTCTTGCTCAGAACTTAAATAAAAAAATCTTATTTACCAAAGAAACCAAAAAAAAAAATCTATATATAAAACACAGTAAAAGGGAAAGTGCCAAGAGAGCTCGATCAATTTTTGTATGGCTACCAAATTACATTTTAATCTTTGACCATATGTCATATACTACGTGAATGGGAATGTATATAAATACTGCTACTACAATCTAATCAAGGGGAACATTACACAAATACTCTGATGTGAGGTTCAAGTGCTGAGCCATTTTTTAATGTGTACTATAATAAATAAAATAAGCATGTAAAATCTTTTCATTGTTTGGTAGACTAAAACAAGCATAAGTCTAAGGTTTTGGACTATTGTCAACCAAACATTATAAAAGAAACTTACTGACTTTTGTAGACAAGCAAATAACATCCCATGTATAATAATGGCTAAATTCAAAATGACTTTCAACATAAATATTGCTTTTCATTGTCAACTGGGCTTCTCTTCTAATTTTAATCAAATGCCATACAAGATACATGCTTAGCAATAATGTCTCTTTCTATTCATGACTGACTAGGTAGAAGATTTCCTGCAGTATACTGGTTGCCAACCAAGGCTATAAGGCCCAGTTTGTCCTGCAACTCAAACCATAGATGGGGGTGGAGTGAGAAGAGATTTATTCATACCTTTCCAAAGGGTATATGCATGTAAGTGAATGTAATGAACCTGACTGGAAATAAAACTTAGTTCATTGATTTCTCATTCCAAGCTGCTATCCATTACACCCCACTGCACAGGCAGTTACCTTTCCCAAATATTCTTAGACCGAATGATACCATTAAAAGATTCCTCAATGTTTTATTGAGAGGGAGGGACCTATACAGTTTGTTAATTTTTAAATCTTAACACAATCATAGCGTTCTTCAAAAATTTGACATATTAAAATAAAAATTTAATCATGAAGAAAAAGTACAATCCTTTTAACAAAACAGAAGTCCGTTTTAAAATGTAAACAATGAGATTTATATAAGACTTGGTGCTTGACATTAATGTATATATTTTATAATTATTTAGTTTCAGAATAAATAATGCAAGATATCAATATGTTAAAATATTTTGTTATGCGTTTTGGTCAATTGTCCTGTCCAACACTTACTAGCAAAAAAAATTTAGAGTAGCCAGATTTTCTTTTCAGTGTTCAGTAAAAGAACAGATTAACATGTGAATTACAATTTGGAGACACCAAAACCAAACAAATACAAAAATTTAAAAAGTGTAGACACATTTGGATAGTGAAAGATGTTTTCCAAAAGTTAAGCAAAGCATTAAGAAACAGGAAAATTTCACTAGAAACAAAGAAAAGAGTACAGACCTTATGTAATGTCAGTATTTCTATCTGGCAATGAATGTTAGACAATCACATATAAAGATGCTTTTTGTGGTAACAAAGATGTGGTTCAACTGAAGAATGCTGAAAATGCCATGGACTGAACAATGTGAACAACATCAAAGTTTTAGAGAAAATCGAACCAAAAAGGACACTTAACATCAGAAAGAGAGTTGAAATTTCTAGAGCACATAAGGAAAGAGGGCTTAGAAAATTTAACATTCACAAGCTGCACATAACCTGCCTAATGAGTTTGTGTAAAATGGTTGGCAGAACAGGGTTTAGGCAAACTTCACTAAGCTACAGAGGATAGGAAATTGTGGTGAACCATGATTTCTCATGACTTACACGGAACATAGAAGAAAAAATAAATCAGGATCATATAAATCAATTTTACACGACGACGGCTACTGGATTATTTAGAAATGTATACCCGACTTGATCTACATAGGAACATTAACTAAATCCTAAGACTTTTTTTTTATTTTCTGTTTTTGGTCTTTTACAAATGCGAATACATCGAAGGCTAAATATTTTAACAATTCTTTTTTTTTTTTTTTTTTTTTTAATCTGGAGTTGCCTGCCTTTAATCGCAATATTTGTATTTTTTTGAAGGAAACCAACATCGATCGACCGATGTTTTCAGCCTCTCCTTTTGCTTTTTCGTTATTTTTTTTTCTCCAAAGTTTGTTTATATATTTACAAAGCAGCGATTTTTCCCCTACTTTTCGATCATAAAAATCAGAAAGAATTAAAATAAATCGATCGTAAATGATTTCTAACTACTTCATCTACTAAAACAGAAAAAACATGTTTTTAGAGAAAAAAAAAATCAGTGACGGTTGCAAGGGAGCGGTTTTCTTTTTAACTAAAATTTTTAAAATGAAATGAGCTACAGTTTGTACACGTGTAAACAATAAGGGGTATTGTATTTTTTCTACCGTTGCAACTGAAAAACGTAAAAAATATGTAAGTATCAGCATCAAAATTCAAAAGTGTTTTTGTTTGTTTGTTTGTTCTGCGACAATGTTGTAAATAAATGTAAAATAAAAAAAACTAATTTCCCCACTTTTAGTTCCTGAGTAGACATTAGAACAGACGATCGGAAGTGACTAAGAACACTTTTTTTTTAAATTTATTTATGGATCAAGAAAGATATGTATTGTTTTTTTTAAACTTTACTTGCCTTTCCCACAGTCCTTTTTTTTTGTACTAAATTTAATAAACGATATTTGTGCTAAAAACAAGTACAAAAAAGTAAGCTTCATAAAAACTTATAAAAATAAATGAATTTCAAAAAATAACATTATTACATTTTTTTTTTAATTTTAAATAAAAAGAAATCACGTCGTATGATCATATTTTGCTTTTTTGGCTTTCTTAGGAAGATCAATTTAAAAAAGAAATACATAGCAAACTGGACCCCCTATTAACTTTTTAAGTGTAAAATCTTACTCATTACTGATCTGCAGTATAAAAAAAAATAAAAATCACTTTTGGCCGCAGTGCCTACAACTCCGAATAAAGAAAAATATGATATGAAGGGTTCTAAAAAGTTCTCATGCTTATCCACCTTCCCAAAATCAGTATTCTGAGGTTTCGTCATTTAGAAGGTGGATCAAAACGAGAATTTGTCAGCACCCACTTTTGTTTTTATTTTCTTAACCCGGGTTCAAAAGCCAAATTAAGAAGAGCATATTCTATCCACTTAAAGGAAAAAAGACTTCTGAAGAAACAGGAAAAACTACTATCCCCACCGCCACCTCGGACAGTGTAGATGAAGTTCCCTTCACAAACAGAATTTAAAAAACAAACAAAAAAAAAAAAAACCCAGACCAAAATAAATAAATAAATAAATATTGAATTTTCCACTTTTTTTTTTTTTTTTTTTTTACATAAATATTGAAAAAAATAAAAAAACAAAAAAACACGAGGTAAAAATAAATAAATAAAAAATGTGATCAATTTGTAAAAGTAGTAAAAATAAATGTAAAAATATACTTACGTTCGTCTTTCCTTCCTATGGCCGGTCGGATGTTCGTGGAACCTTCGGATAACATCATTTTTCTCTTCTTTGCTGACCACCCGAAGAAGACCGTATTTCGGGTGTTTATAATATAACACTCCTTTCTTGTGAGAAAAATTATGGCACTTGCGACGCAAAATCCTTTTCTTGTTACTGTTACTATAGAAAGAAGTAGGAAACTTTTTCTCACGAAGATACCGTAATATATGATGCATTTCGATCCGATCCATTTCGCATTTATTTATTTATGTTTATTGAAAAGCCACAGAGGAAACCTTTCTTTAATTTGTAATGAACCAAAGTAAAAAGAATAGAATTGAAATGTATAGTAAAAGTTAACGTTATGTTAATTTTGAAATCATATCATCAGACCCAGACATGATGATATACGGCAGAGATTGTACGACGTGCTTTGGTTATAAACAGGTTCGCTTGAAAAATCCAACTCTTCAAAAATCAAAATCTATCGAACTGTATTACTTTCACAGCGCTGAAAGGGTTTTAAAAACAACAGTAAACACCACAGAAACATTATTAAATTTCAAATTTGATTGTCGTCATAACTAAAATCAAGAAGAGATTAAAAAAAAAAAAAATTAAGAAAACACTCCAATCTTTTATTAGGAAGAAAATTTCTTTTTTCTATGTTGTAAGCGACGGACAGAGTTGACTCACCCCCACTTTGTAAATTTACAGACTATGATTTCACTGTGGAAGTGGGATAGATTTAAATTTTTAAAATATATATGTTTATTGGCATTTTATTTTAAATTGATAATTACTATTATTATCTCAACCCTTGAAAATATTTCAGTTTTTGATTTAAGATATTCGAAACGGTTTCACGACGATCTTTTTTTTTCGTTTTGCTTTTTTAGTTTTTTGGGTTTTTCTTCAATATAGTGTAGTCATTCTACCAGAAGTACCATAAAAACTGAGAACTATAGCTCTCTCTCCACAGCTTCATTGTCTTTAATGATTTTTGCATTGCCATGACCGTTCTTGAGAAATATAGAAGAGTTGTTTTTTGGCGGCGGGGGGGGGGGGTCACATTTTCTTCTAAAACAAATTACCAACCAAAAGCCAAGAAGCTATTCTATTCTGCTTCTTTTCTAAATTGGGGGCGGGAGATGGATTCAGGTATTTCCCCGACAGAAATTGAACTCGGCTAAAAAAACTGATTCAATTTTCCCCAATAACACGCACTACCATCAGTAGTAATGTTGTACTAAAACAAAATGTAGTCAGCTCATAGTATCATTTTTTTACACTCACTGAAAAATGTGATGAGACAGCCTTTGTAGCACGTCTAAATTTTGGTTGAAAAATTTTGTTCTTAGGGGAAGAGGAACCAAAAATTAATATAGAAAATTTGAGCACTGTTTTTTGCGGTAAAAACACGTCGATTTGGAAATTCTTGCAAATATCAAATAATTATCGGATTTTAATGAAACTTTCAGGACTTATACTACTCCTATATATATATATATATATATATATATATATATACACACACACATTTATTTAGATTTAAATTTTAAGAAATTATTTTGACCTTCTATGTTTATTAGTTAAAAAAAGCAGAACTCCTTGGAGAAATTAAATCAATTTTAACACCAGTTACTGAAAATTTGTTCCTAATAGTAAAATATAAAATGCAATAAACTAAGACATTATTTAAGTAAAACTTTTTAATTGCTTTTATATCAAGGTAAGGACACTATTGTCTTAAGAAAAAACATTTTTTTGATAAATAATGAATTTTTACAAGAATTGTTTTCATTTTTTAAAATTTTAAATCTTAAAATTCTATATTAAATTTAACCAGTTTAGCTGATATTAAGTAAAAACTAGATTTACTAATCATGAACTGAAAAGCTTAGTACAATTCATTAAACAATATTTTTAAAAGAATTTTGGATTTTTTTGTATGTGTATTATGCTGATTTTTGTAGATATGGGTGTTTATGCACAACATTATCAGAAAATAAGAGCAATAACTATAGTAAATTTAAAACCAAAGTATCTAAAATTCAATAAAACATTAGATTACAGAGAATATTTTCCTAAATTTTCAAGATTACTGAGTAATTGAAAATACATATAAAAAATACTTGCATTATATTCTTCAATTATTTTTTTACAGATATAGTTACTGTAGAAAAACATTAGATAAAACATGCATCTGTCATCAAGCTGTCAACATCTTAAACACCTATCACAGTGTTAAAATGCATTTGTGATATTTTACACTTTTAGTTAATATTTGTTTCAAATCAGATTAATTATACTTTAAGTTAGCTAATATTCTTCAAAGTTTCAGAAAAGCATATTTTAATTTTTGAAGAATTTTTTTAATAAAGAGAATTACATTGCAATAAACAAAGGGTAAAAATGGTAACTGAAATTAGTTTTTTTAGAACAAAGTATTTTACTTATTAGAAATATTAAATATAATCTATTAGCTTGAAATTAAAACTAAAATAAAAGCTTCAAGAAAGATTTTTCATTTTTAAAACTTGGGTATCACAAATCTGTGGAGATACCTACTTAAAGCCGTCAAAATGAACGAACTATTTTGAGTCAGAATTTGGAAAGCACGTTGATCTGTCATTATTCTATTGTAATGGATATTAAATAAATAAATCCACAAAACCACTGTAGATTCTACAAGTAATGAAATAACTGCATAAAGAATTTTTTTGTTGTTTAAACCTAGTTTTCTTTCTCTTAGGGTACAAGTCATTGTCAACTTTAACCACTGGTTACAACATGGTCATAAATCAGCTTGTAATTAATTTTGCAATCTTTTTTTTACCTTTTTTCAGGCATTTTTTATAATTTTTATTGTTTATTTATGTTTGATACCATTTCATTCGTATCATCACTCTACAGTCAAAGACAATTTCCTTTTGGCAGACATCTTGGTTTGTTTTTTTTTAAATTTCAAAGACACAAATGGGCTAAGGTGGAAAGTGTGCCATACCAAGGCTGCCCCACCAACACTGAACTATTTTTATAAATGTACAAAAACACTATATATCTCAAACAATAAGCATGTCTTTTTACAAGATTTCATCTGCAATTAATAGAAAAATACCATCAAAAATATATTGTCATACTACAAATTCAGTAAATAAAGAAATGAAACCCAAATATAAAATTTTACAGATTGGATGAAACAGTAAAGAAAGTTTTATTGCTTTGCAAAACTTTTTAGAACAACTTGTATTGTTAAGCTGAAATTGTTGTATATGTCCCACATGCAGTTATATTTGAACACAGGTAAAGCCAGAATTTTTCATACTGATTTTCAAGACAGCTAGGCCATTTCAAATATTGGTGCAACACAATCTTTCTAGCTTTTATTTCCTCCTGACTAGCCATTTCCCAAATTCAATATGGGTTTAGAAATTTACATGTATCCAAAAGATAAATGAATTTGTGACAGAGAATTTAATTCTATTAGAAATATAAACTCTTTTTTTTTCTTTTTAATAGTAAAACACTACTTTACTCAAACAGAAAATATAACTTATTTTAGATTAAAATTATTATATTTTACCAATAAATTTTACATTGATCATAAACTTCCAAACTATAAGGCATTTGGTATAATTCTGGAAAAAATCCAATATACCAATGGACAAAAAAATGTCTGCTTTTATTTATTTTTACATTTGAAGTTATTAGTTATGTTTATGGCTGATTTTAGTTTTTGGAATTATTAAGTAAATAATATATTTTTAACCAGGTGTGAAACATCTCAACTTATATAGAACTAAATAATTATAGTTTTAGTGGATTGTGATTTGGCATATGAGTAAATCAGAAGTTTACTTTTTCTTTTATTCCAAAAAGAAATGACACATATACACACTGACAAGAAAAAAATTCAAATGAGAGAATAAGAAAACAGAAAAAACAATTATATTTTATGAGGGGGGGGTAGAGAGAACAGAAAAAGATACAAATATGGTGTCATCATTTATCTCCTTTCTTAAAGGCATTAGTGAAGACAGCAACTTTCCCTAAGATTTAAACTCAACTTACTGATCACATTTTCAGCACTATTATGGTAGCCACACACACATATATATATATAAGAGATATTTACTCTCATTTCTTTGAATCCTTTCACTTGATCAGAGATTTGGGGTGTGTGTTTTTTTTTCCAGTAAAGTTTTTAAAAAATAATAAAAAAACATTGAGTTATTTTTAAAGGACAGCAATTATACTGTGATTGCAGAAAAAAAAAAAAAAAAGAGTATGGAGAGAAAAAAAAAAAATAGATACCTGAGATTAAAAAAATTCACTTTTGTTTTGCAACAACTCAAATTTCAATCAAATAAGAATTTTTGCTTTGCAATAAAAAAAAAAAAGCAAATAAATTTTTGCAAAATCAAAACAATATCATAGGAAAAAAATAATTTTATTGCAAAAGTCTGTAAAAAGAAAGAAATGAAAAGAGGCATTTCTTGTGGTTACCTTGTTTGTCCACATCAATTTCAATATTAGCAGAGGTTTGTGCAAGATAATTTAATTTTTGATAGCCTTGATTTGCTTGACAAATTAGGCATTGTTGAATAACACTAGTAACATATTTACAAATTCCAAGCCAACAATAGTCTGTTAAAAGTTGTTGCCAGCTGTAAAGAAACAATGAAAAAAAGTATTAATATATCAGAATAATAAAAATAAAATCATTAATAAATTCTTGAAAACAATTTTTTTTTACAAAAACAAAATAAAATAATTAGAAAGAAACAAATAGGAAAATGTTGACGTAACTGGAAAATTTTAAACAGAAAAAAAAATTGATCATTTAGAACATGACATTCTAAAAGAAAAAAAAACTCCACCCAACTATATTAAATAATGGATAAATCAAATGCTAAAGCAGCAGCTAAAATTCAGTTTAAGCATCTTTGAGTTGCAAAATTATAACAAGAAATAAGTTGCAATGATCATTCCAAGTCCCCAATTTCTTACAAATAGTTTGGATATTATTTTCTAGATAGAAAAATGTTAACAGACCAATGACTTGAGTGCCTTACCATAAGATGAGTAAATAGGTTTGATTATTAAGTATTTATGTGCCTTGTGCCAAACTTAGTGTAATAAATAGAAAACTTTGCTATGGATTTGTGAACAGCAAGCTTGTTTCACTGACTATAAC